CGATTTATCTAGTCTAGACAAATCGAATAATAATAGTTTCATTTGAATTGGATCACTGGATATCGAGATATTGTATCTAAAGTGATTTATTTCATTGTATTATGGCATTAAAGTTTGACGAACATATAATGTCCTAATATAAAAGTTTACCGGCCTATAAAAGGCATAAATTATCAATATTTATATAGTTCTTTATACGTGAAAAAATTTTGGTACATTACATATGATCTATGAAAAATTACGGGCGGTCGGATACTTATGACGGCTACTGTATATTTCATTATTAATATTTTGTACGTTATAACTTGACATCGTGGCCAATTTCGCGTTTAAAGTTCACGAACGATATTTCGAACTTGTAAACAATCACGTGTGTTCGAAATGTCATACAATTTTACTATGCTATAGAATTCAATATACGTAGTGAACAAGATTTATTAGTAAAAAATCGACTTTTTATTTTCGAGTTTATAAATCATAATACCGAATGTTTTGAAGTTTGCACTATCACTATAGAACAAGCCCTCCATTTTAACAGGGTTGACCCTGCATGTGTGTATTCGTAGTGAGTTTTAATTGCTAAGTTTATTAACATATAATAATTCATCTACAATGCTATAATAAAACTGCTTTCTAATTAAATTTTTTTATTAGAAAATCTGACACAGATACTGTTAGTGTATTTGCTTTACCAGTTTTTTAGCTATGTTTTTTTGATGTCAAAATATTCCTAAGGTGTGAACGTGGTATTAAATTACTCGTTATTTGATTAGCTAACAAGAAATATAATAATGTAAGAGAAAAATAAGAAACTACATCTCGTTTTATATTATATTTTTTCCTGAATAACAAAACTACGTGTATAATTCCCTGAACCATAAAAATTACCAACTTAAATCATGTACAAACTTCAATTCCCTTCCAAAGTGTTGGCCCCGACTCGGCTGTAAATTATGAACCAACTATAGTTCATGATATTGGTTCCAACTCGGTTGAAAATTATGGACCAACTTCAGTTGCTTTCCAAAGCGTTGGCCCCGATTCGGCTGTAAATTATGAACCAACTACAGTTCCCTTTTATGATGTTGGTTCCAACTCGGCTAAAAATTATGGACCAACTAATCCAACTTCAGTTCCCTTTTATAGTGTTTGTTCCGACTCGGTTGTAAATTATGAACAAACTTCAACTCCCTTCCATGGTGTTGGTTTCGGCTCGGCTGTAAATTATAATCCAACTAATCCAACTTCAGTTCCCTTTCATGGTGTTGGTTCCGAGTCGGCTGTAAATTATAATCCAACTTCAGTTCCTTTTCATGGTGTTGGCTTCGACTCAGTTAAAAATTATGATCCAACTTCAGTTCCCTTTTATAGTGTTGGTTTCGAGTCGGCTAAAAATTATGAACCAACTTCAGTTCCCTTTATGGTGATGGTTCAAAATCCTTTTATGATGTTAGTTCCGACTCTGCTATAAACTTCACGGTGTTGGTTTCGATTTAGCTAGAAATTGTCGATGCAAGCGTACGAATCAACTTCAGATCTTTGGATTAGATTTTGCAGCGTCTCGAGATTCTTTGGAATCTGTCTGCCCTTGGAAACTCTGAT